CAGGGTTCCAGAGAGACCCTGCAGTAAGGGGCACAGAGAAGAGCTCTCCACGACAAACCCATAGGAAGGCTCGGCTCCAGCCACCCCCAGCCCCTAGGCTTCCTACTGTGTGCAAAGCACACAGCAGGTTCTCTCTCCTGCCCCAGACTGCTCTCTGGGTTCCCAAAGCCTACAGGCCAGGAGCCCAGCTCCTCAGCCTGCCTTTTAGGTTTCTCTGAAGCCTGGCCTCCACTCCCCTGAAGTCCTCCAAATCCACTGTCCTTTACCCTAGCACACAAACTCCTCACTCTAGCACAGCTGGGTCTCTTCCCCAGAGGCGCCTTTGCTCAGGGAGGGTCTCAAACGTTCTGCTCACACCCCTCCTGCCATCCTCTGTATCCCCCCAGCACATCCCAACTGCAGCTTGTGCTTGCGATGGCCTGCCTGCCCATCTTCCAAGGTCTTCCTCCGTGACAGCCGTGTGCACCCTGTAACACACTGGCTCATCCTGCACTGTGGTTTTCTATTCTCTGGGCCGACCGCAGATTAGTCTGGGTCGTTGGCCCTTCTGGACACAGGGGCAGACTCTCGATCACCAGGCCAGAATGTGAAGGTGTCTATCTCCTCCCCAGGAGGGGCACTGTGGTATAGCAGGGAGTGTGCTAGATTTGGAATCAAGAAAATGGGTTCAAATCCTGCCTTGGACACTGATGCCATGTGTGTAAGCTCTAGAAGTCTCAGTTTCCTCATCTGTAAAAATGGGGACACGAATAGCATCTACCTCACAGAGTCCAGTCAGTCAACAAGCCCTTCTTAAATGCCTACTGTGTGCCAAGCGCTGGCTAAGTGCTGGGGGTACAAAGAAAGGGGAATACAGCCCCTGCCCCTGAGAAGCCCCCATCTGTGTGGAGCACGTGAGGAGGGATGGGAAGTGTTCTGCAAACCATGGATCAGGGCGAGCCCTCTGGACTGACTGTCAGGTCCATTCGGCACTGCCCAGATAAGGCCCGGTGCTCTGGACCATCTCCCAACCACACGCAGGGATAATTCACAGAACACACCTCATTTGTTTCTGCATAACAACAGCAGATCCCACTTCCCAATGACTTAGACAGGTGCTCTTACCTCAACGTGGCAGCCACAAGACGTTAAACAAAACTGCCCGAGACACAGGAACATTTCTAAGAGCAAGCACCGATTTAAGGAAGATGCCACCATCTTTTTTTGGTTCTCAGAATACTGCCCCTCACTTGCTGCATCCAGTGTGATGCTGCCGGCCAGATAAGAGATGAAGGACACTAGGAGAAGCTCTGAGGCCTCTGTCCTCAGCCTAGCCTTGGCTGCTTCCTCAGCGGTCCCTTTCCTTCTGAAGGGAAATTCATGCAGAAAGCATCCCTTCATAACAGAGCCCTTCAGAAATTCCCCATATTTTCCCTTGGAGTTCCCCACCCTGCTTGGAAATTTGCCAAGCGTGGCCTCCCTCTCTTTTCAACGGCTGCTAATGGGGGGTAGCTAGAGGGGAGCAGGCCACACCTCCTCATCTGAGAACTGCTCCTTTGGTTATCAGCTTCCAGTCACAGATCAATCATCCACCCCCAAGGGATGGAAATCACCCCAGAAGGCAAACTGGTGCAGGTGCTACCTGGCTGGAAGCAGCATATCCCAGGCTGGCTTAACAAATGGGGCACATGACCCCCAATTGAGGCTGGCCTCCAGGTCGGGCATTCTTTTAGCTGACACAGCTCAAGAAAACCATTTCCTAAGGAGTTTCAGTCTATGTCAGTGGAAGGAGTAACTCACATGCATGAAATGAGGCATCCAAGTATGAGAGACCAAAGGGAATCCTTCTGTGCCTGTACTTGTCCTGTGAGCTATCAAACTGGTAGATTGGGTACTAGACAGCATGAGCACATCAGAAATGCTTCCCCTGAGGAAGACCCCTGGTCCTCTCAGCCACTTCCTGGCTCTGTGAGCAGTACAAGGTGGCTGGGGGCAGGGCACACTCTCCTCTGGCCTCACTTCCCCCCTTTTTAAACAAAATCTTATTTTTCACTGCCATGGTTTGTTTTCATATAGCCTCAATGTCTGAAAATATTGCCACAAACTGGGCCAAGCCTGGGAGCATCCATTCACCTGTTATCATCAGTGGCCTTCCCTTTCCCCTTCCCCTGTCGCCTCTGCTTTCCCAGTCTCAGGGACACTGAATCCTGGCTACCTAAGAACAAATCTCCTGCCCGCCTCGTACCCTCTCTTCCCCGTCCGTCCGGTCCCACCACCTGCAGGCCTCTTCCATCACAGCCTCTGGAATTCCTGCTCTGTCATTAACAAACTGCCCTTCTATTTAAACCTGGTCCTCTCGTGTTCCTTCTTCTTGGTCTCACTGGGGATGGACCTGGCTCCCCCAGAAGACACTGAAGTCCCATCCATCCACCCCTTCCTTTACCAGCCATACCTTCTCTCAATACTGGCCCCTGCTCCTGAAATACACAGACACTCCCCACTGCTACTTCTAGACTCTCTCTATGGACATCACTCAGCAACTTTTTCTTCTCCGAGAATCACTCTCTCCAAATTTGTCAGCCCGTCCAGATCCCGGTGGCCCATTATCCACAGACCCCAGGACATCTCCTCTCTCCACTCCAACTCCCACTCTTATATTAGAAGACTAGGACGATGCCTCCACCTCTACTCCCGTGACTGACTCCCTCACTCAACCTCATCAACAGCACGGCTCAGCAATGAGCACCCTGCTCACGATCCAGCCTTCTAGGAATCCTTTATCCAGCCATGATCTCCTTTCAATCCTCTTTCCCTCCACTCCCCTTCCTCTAGACCTAGTCTTCGTTCTTTCCCTGACCTCCTGCCCCTCTTCCTTTCTCTCCCTCTTCTCCCAGCTCCCCCTAATCTGGTTTCACTTTTCTGCCTTCTCCATCTCAATGCTACATCAATCAGATCCATATCACAACATCCGAGATTCTAGAAGCCCTTGCTCTTGTCCTGTGGCAGACGGCTTGTAGCTCAGAAAAGCCCCACTGTCTCCTCCCTCTGTTCCTAGCTCCATGTTGCTGACTGCCACACAACCTTGCTGGCTGGTTCTACTACAAATTGTTCTTTATTATCAACTGGGCCTCCCTACAGTAAGACAACCCTCTTATTCCTCCCTCATTCTCTTCAGTGGCTGTTACAAACCTGCTCTTCTCTCCTCAAGTTTCTCACTCCTTTCTCTTCTCACCACTCTTTCAGTAGAGAACTCTGCTCTACTAAGAAAACGAGATTTGAAAACAATGGGTAGTATTTATTATATAGGTTTTCCTGAAAAGGAAATGTATTGTTTTATATTGAATCCTCTCATGTTCTCCCGGGTATATTGATAATCTTTTTTTTTTTAATTTTGTATTTAAGTTTAAAATGAATAATAAAAATTACAACAATAAAAAAAGACTTTCTCTACATGTCAAATGCCCTGACTGCATTCTCTCTTCCTTCACTCACCCAGTGAGGAGGTAGCCTTTTCTTTGTCAAGGCCAACTCCTCTCTACGCTCCCTTGATCCCATCCCTCCTGTTTCTCCCTCCCCTCCAATGTTCCATCTGTTTCCACATTCCTTTCCTGCAGCCCACAATGCACTCCTGGATCTCCCCCATCCTTAAAACATTCTCAGCTGACCCAAGTTATCACCTGAAATCTTCCTTCTCTCTCTCACACCCTACTTCTGATGGCTCTGCTTTTGCAAAGACAGTGACTGGACCCTGAGGCTGAATGGATTAAAGGACAGAAAAGGGTCCCAACAGCAGAACTCCCAAGATACCATGGGATCCTGGGAAGCAGTGAAGAGCACACAGCTTCACTGCAAGGAGGCCCTTCAATATCACCTCATCTCCTTCCCTGAAAAGCCCTCCTGTGAGCCTGCCAGCCCCTCAAGTATCATTCGATCATAACAGTTCCTGGAGGGCCCCGGCAGCCAGGCTCTGGCATGGGTGGCCCATTCTCCAGGCAGAGACCAGGTCTGACCCTGTCCCTCACGACCAGCTCAAGGAGATCTCCTGGCTCCCAATGACACTCTGGTATTTAAAGCCCTGGCCCCAGCTGACTTTCCAGGCTTATTATACCCGATTCCCTTTTACATGCTCTACGGCTGAGCCAAATGGGCTCAGTGAACCAACGAGCATTTATGAGGTGGCTGTGCCAAGCCTGGGGGTACAAAGGCAAAGCAGAACCAGCTCCCTTGCTGCCCCTCCCTCCCTTGCCTCCAGGCTGGTCCCCATTCACTTCTTAGGGAATCACCAGCTCCCTTGGAAGCTCAGCTCGGAGGCCTCCTTGTGGCCAAGGCATTCCCTCATCTGCTGGCCTTCCCTTCTTACTGCTGCCCCTCTAGATTACTTTGCATTAGCTGTGCAGAGACTCTGGAGGTACCCAGGATGTCCCCTGATCTAATTAGAGCTAATGATCTAACGTCCTGGAGGACAGGTCCTGCCTCCTTCTTGTCACAGAACATCCCAGCAGCCTGATATTAATGCCTTCTGCCTGGTGAACTGCCAGGGGCTGGAGGGAAGAGCGGGTACATCATGACGTGTTGCTCAGAAGCTTAGAGCCGAACCTGGTGAAGGCTTCATGATTTTCAGAGCCACAGGGTCTGAATAAAGGCTGACCGAGATTGACACGAGGATGGATTTTACTTTTACACAAACTGAGTGTGAACCATTCCTTTCCGGACTTCATCTAAATAGCACTAGAAGCCAGTACAGAACACTGGGCCCGAGGTCAGGAAGAACTGAGTTTAGATCTGGCCTCAGACACAACAACCTGTATAACCCTGAGCAGGGCAATTGACTGCTGCCTGCCTCAGTTTCCTTACCTGTAAAATGGGGATGATAATAATAGCACCTCCCTTCCAAGGTTATTGTGAGGATCAAATGTGATAATATTCGTAAAGTACTTTGCAATCAAAATTTTAACAAGCTATTAACAATTATTAAAAACTCAAAATCTGACTACCTCTTCACCTCCCTCCCCCAATCTTACCTGTTTTCAACCAGAAAATCTACAACGTATTTCTTCAGGCAGTAGAGATGGGCATCCACAAGACCTGTTTGGAAATGTATTCTAGGATGCCTAGGAAAAAACAAACAGCAAAGAGAGGCCTTAGAAATGGTCACCACTCCTGGCAAGTTCCCTCTGTGCTGGGCTCCCAGGGGCTACCAGGTGGGGACAGGCCTGCACGGGGGAGCCTTCCTCAGCCAGGGAGGGGCCTCGAACACTGCAGCGCCAGGCCCCAGAAGAAAGCCCCCATGCCTGGCTCTGCCCTGGATGCTGCCCACACCTGCTTTGCCCTCAGACAGCCTGACCCCCTTGAAGTGCTGCCCAAACCAAGCACGCACAGATGCCAATATGACATGTGGGCCAAATCTACAATCAGTCTCAGCCTGGACAAGAGGGATTCTCCAGTTGTGGTTTCAGATTGTCTTGGATATCAGCCTGCTCTGGTTGCAGAATCGTTTGACCTTAACTCATGTAACACTCTGAGAAGTGCCAGAAATCATACCAATCCCAACCTGTCCCAAGGCCCAGGGTCTGAGACAAGGGCTCTCTCTCTGGCCTCTCACCTCAGGGCTCTAGGACAAAGCTCGGTTTTCTCATCACTAATTCCAAATCTCTTCTCTTCTGCATAGTCACATGCACTCAAGTACGGCATGCTTTTGACAGGGGTTTGTTAGGAAAGACACAGCATTTATACAGGCACTGCTGAGCTCCGTACAAATATTCTCTCATTTAATCCTCACATCAACTGCGAGAGGTAGATGCTATCATGATCCACATTTTATAGTTGAGGAAACTGAAGCAGATGGAAGTTAAGCGACTTGCCCAGGGTCACCTTGCTGGATTTGAACTCAGGTCTTCCTGACTGAAAGCCCAGGGCTCTATCCATTGCACCAACTCTCAGACCATCATTTGAATGTGTATGAGGCTGTCCAGGATGAGTTTTCTCATAGAATTAAGGAACTGGATGGAATTTCAGAAGCCAGCTAATCCAAACCATTCCTTTTACAAATAAGGAAACAGAGGCATGGTCACAGAGCTGGCCTCAAAGCCTCTAGGCTTTTCTAACTATCTACCTCTCTCAAGGTGTTCATTATCTCCCTGCCCCTCACAGGATAAAAGGCCACCTCTCCGGCCAGGCCTTCATCACCAATGACCTCCACAATCGTGTTCTCATCTACCTTTCCAGCCTCCTTCCATACCATCCCCCAGGTAGAGCTCCCCAGGCTCGCCATCCCCTAAAATCATTCTTGCTCATCTCCCACCTCGATTCATTTGTACAAGCTATGCCCCAGGCTCAGAATGCCCTTCATCCACACATGATCTTTCAGAATGTCCGTCTTTCTCCAAGGCTCATATCAGGGGTCCCCTCCTCCATGAAGCCTTCTTAGACTTTCCTGCACAGCTGTACGTGCCTTCGCTCTCCTCAATTTCCTTCATCCTACACTTATTTGGACGTGTGTTTGCACTCTTCCAGGAGAAAATGAACTCCTTAGGCCTGTCTCATTTATGTGCTGAGCATAGTGCAGGTGCAGTGATAGAGTGACAAGATAACAGATGGCAAGCACCTTGCAAACTTGAAAGTGTCATATAAATGCTCACACACACACACACATGCAGGCTTACTGTCATGGAATTTTTCACTCTAACAGTTTAAGGCTGCCATGCCAAGCCCCACCCTTGTGGCTTGGAAGTGCATGTAGAAGGGTAGACAGAGGCTTCTGTCTGCTGGCAGGGAGTCGGTTTGGCCTACACCTTCTGTGAGCTCAATCCTAGCCACTTAAAAGAGACTTCTTTCTCACACCACACACAATTCCCAGAGATGACAACCTATAAATGACTGAATGAATGAATAAAGCCTTTCTTAAACCACTTGCTACATGTGAAGAGGTCCTGTGCAAAGCTCTGGGGGCACTAGAAAACTGCTCCCCAGGAGCTCACAGTCTTCTGGGGGAGACCCTACTGAGGGAGGCTTCCGCTGAGGTAGTCCTCATGGTCCTTACGTCCCTCATCATCCTCCCTTTACTGCTATTCCACACCAAGGAAAGGTTGGCAGATTTAAAGCCTATGGCCCCTGGGACCCAAAGATCTCTCTCTTCCCTCAGGAACTTGTTGAGAAGAAAACGCTTGGCTAGTAACATCCCTGAGAGCACTACAGGAATCGCCGGCAACTGGGGCAAGGGAAGCCAGCCTCAGGACAGAGGGCGGATGTTGGCTCCCAGTCACAAGGCCTGGGCGGCCCTGAGGGCTGGGTGGTAGGCACAGGCTTCTGTCTTCCCACCCACACAAACAGCAAGAGCTGAGAATGTGACAAGCTGGGGGATAATGTTCTACAGGCCTGTGAGGTCACTGACTCTGGCCTTCACTGCATTAAGATGGTCTCAGCTTTGCTTTAGTTCAAAGAGAATGTAATGTATAAATATTTGCAGCCCCAACATTGGACAAAACCAAACATCCTAAAGAAGAATGGAGCCAGGGATAAAAGCAGCTCTGGAAACCCCACTCCCACCCCCCTTCAGAGAACCAGAGACCTCAGCAGAGGCCAGAGGAAGGTTTTTTTCCAAATAAGTAATTACTGTGGTTAAGACCACTCCCTGAGGGACCCCCACCCCACCCCACCTCTGCTCTGGTTAAAGCAATTTACCCATATTGTAAAATTTCCAAAGCCTTCTCTCAACTTCCACTCCTTTCTAACTAGACCCTAAGTTAACCAGCCACTGAACCAGCCCTGGCCCCAACTCCCAACCTGGCCCACCTGAGCCCTCTACAGTGGCTGCACAGAAGTGGGCTGGAGGCCAGGATGCAGCTGCCCTGGGCCACACAGTGCAGTTGGGTGGGCTCAAAGCACAGTCCAAAGGGCCCTGCTTTTTACTAAACAGGGAAGAGCACTGAAGTGCATCTTGAAAAGACATCCTTGTCCCTGCTTTGCAGATTTCCAACACCAGTAAGACTACCTGCCAGGTGCGGCTGTACAAGGCCTCATTTATAGTAATTAATAGAGTGTTATGGGTGCTCAATGGGTGTGCTGACTCAGGAGCAGCAATGAAGGCAGGAAGGAGGATTTCACTCATCCAGCCTGATGGCACAAAACAGTATTTCCCAAACAGAACAAGTGCCAAAGCCCGTGCATGGGACAAGGGAATGGGAAAGGGTAATGATGGCGGAGCAGAGTGAGGGCTCAGGTCAAACACCAGCAGCAACTGAAGCCCTGACTGTAATGATACCACCTGGGATGGCTGAAAAACCATTCAGGTTGCCCAGCTCGGAGACCCTTCCTCTAACCAGAGACAAATCTGCAAGGACAGCCTGCCCTGGGAATGCTGAGGGCCGCAGCCTGGACTTTTCACTGCCTCTGACCATCTGACAGCAGTTCCCGGGGCCCTCTTGAATGTTGGGGGTGCACTGGATAGAACGCTAGACCTAGGGTCAGGAAAACTTGAGTTCAAATCCAACTTCAGATACTTCCTAGCTGTGTGATCCTGGGCAAGGCACTTAACCTCTGTCTGCCTCCATTTCCTCATCTGTAAAATGGGAACAATAATGATCCCTTGTTGTTGTGAAGATCAAATGAGATAATAATTATAATGTGCTTAGCACATGTAGTGGACACAAATGCTATTATTATAATTATTATTATTATTATGGAAAAGGCTAAGCTCTTGATTCTCTGAGACTGCTATTACCCCAGCCACCAGTCTTGGGGCTCTTCCTGGCCCAAAGGAGCCTGGGCTCAGAAGGAAGGCTGACACGGCTGAAGTTTTCAGGAATAATCCAGAAAACTGCTTAGTGACTAGAATGAATGAAATGAACCCCATTTCTGAACACGCGCCCTCACTAGCCGGAGGTTCCCGTGGGCTGGTTTGTAAAAGGCAGTTAGGCCAGGCAGGAAAGGGCTCTACTTCTCATACACTTCTGCTCAGAACCAATCTTGCTGATCTCTGAGGTGATAGAAATGAGACCTCTTAGTTCCTATGTTATCTATTCCAGTGGGTCCATGCTGTCTCCTCTCCTAGACTGACTGCAAGCTCCCTGAGGGCAGAAACTTTCAAATTTACCTTGGTATCCCCAGCGCCTGACACAGAGGAGGTACTTGCTAAGTATTTACCAACTGGCTGGTATGCAATAGCCTGCCTCAACAAGCTTCCTAATTCTAAGAAGCAAGAAAACTTGGAAAGCAACCTCAGCAATCCAACGAGGAGCACTAAGTGAGCACTGGGTCTTTGTAAAGAGACCTCCAAATCTGGATCAATGGGTTGCTGCAATGACCTATCACGCCTGCAGAAGTCATTATCACCTGCTTCTCAGGAGAGATGCTATGGCACAAGACACATACATCTTCAGACATGGCCAACACACTGACTTTGCTTATCTGTGCTTAATTCTTACAATGGAGAACTCTATTTGGAGGAGAAGGGAGAATGAGTCAATGGGAAGTGATGGTAATGTGGGGAAAAAACTGTGGGGAAAGCTTCAATAGGACTTTAAAAACGTCCCACAATCTGAATGCCTACATCCAGATTCAGCGTGCCATGGAGCAGGAAGGCCCCTCTTCCTCCCCTAGGTCCCTAGGCTCCGCTGGGCTAAGTGTCTAATGTTTGGGAGGGGGGTCACACACCCACTGCCGAGTCCATTCATTTAATGGCACAATGTCACCCAGGGAGGTGGTCTCCAGTGCAGTGTCCTTGGGATCTGTGTTTGTCTTTGTGTGGTTTAACATCAACAACTGGATTGGCCTGGGGTTGAAAGAGGAGGTTTTGGAAGCCAAGGGTGAGTCACGGTCAGCCCTGTGCTTTAGGGATGCCAGGTGGACAGTTGTGGAGGATGGAAGAGGCAGGGAGACCAATCAGTAAATAAGGGGCTACACCAGGACAGGGACCAGGTGAGCTGAAGGTAAGGGTTCACGAGACAAGGAGAGGTAGACAAGATTTAGGAACTGGCTGGAAGAGGGTGTGAGTGAGGGAAAGTGAAGAGCACAGGATGAGTCTGAGGCAGCAAACCTAGGTCACAGGAAAGATGGTGGTGCCCTTGAGAGAAACAGCAAAGTGAAGAAGGGTGGGCTTGGGCCAGTTTGAAAT